AAGTGAGGAAGCTAACGCCGTTATGTATTGGGCGTACGCAGGTTTGTTCCTGTTGAATTGTTTTTGCCGGCTGGAACGACCTTCCTTGAACGACCCAAACACCGGATGGTACAGCCAGGTACGGCTATAGTACACTGCGTACACGGTTAGGTCAATAAACTGTGTGACGTAACGTCACTAGTGCGTTGGACCGACGGAGAGCACCGATACCGCGGCACGCTCTACCGTACTCTCTCGCTCGCACACCTTCCCTCATAGACCACTGAAATTCCTCAGAACGCGTCGACACCGACGGAGAGCACTGATACCGGCGGCTCGCTCTCCCGCTCTCGTTTATTTATGATGTTCATATTCCCCAAATAAATATCATATTTAACTAATTTGTTTAAGCGACATGTTCCTTTTACAGATTTAGCTCTCCAGTATAAATTCCTAAGACCCTTATTTATTATTCATTTTACAAAATAATTGCAAATATGAAAATTTTTTACCTCTTCTTGAACATTCTAATTTCATAGCCCTAAACTGGGTACTTGAAAGTATTTCATTGAATTTGTGTAAAAGATTTTACTACTTCCTAAAAGATTCCGTGTGATATTTGATAGCATAAAAAACAATGTTCTCGCAATAAATAAATTTTTTGGAAGTAAATAACGTGTAAGTAAATTCATATGTAAAAATTTACCAATTGCCAGAAAGTAATTGTTCGTGCGTATTAAAATTCTTACAATAGGCAGTAAAACTATTCACACTCCCATATAAATTATAAATATGTAGATGTTAATGAAAGCGGTGTATATATTCTCACAGATATAGATTTGATAAAGTATTTATGAAACTACATCTATTCTGAATTTATCTGTTACAAATATGCAAATGTAAGGCAAGATATAAAAACGAATAAAACAAGAACATGTATAAAGTAACATTAATAAAAATGTCCATTAACGATGCATTTAGAATAAAGAAATAGTGAAAAAATAGTAATAGAGTAAAGAATAAGGGAAAAAATATATACTTTTCCGTTTCATGTTTCATGACTGTCATATTTATCCCTTAACCTTAAACTGAAGCATCGGATATTTTTATTCCCGTCAAATCATATAGATACACGCAATATGAATGGAATATATAACACTTTATTTGTGCTAATAATACTCAGAATTCATGCTTTATCGGTAACGTCGGGTATTGATACTAAAGTGGTAACAGGGTTACGTAGCCCTATGAACGTGGGACAGAAAAAAGCATTGGATGATAGGTGTATTCTATACCTAGTCGGTGGTTATATCGTATACAGTGAAGGATGATTAGAAACAATGAAGAATAATGAATAAATTAATGATTATAAATTATAATCTACATGTTACCTAGCAAATCATTCTTTTAGAATTTCTTGTTTTTTCTACTGAT